CCAAAAATCTTCGCCAGAGACGGCAGCGAGTTCTTTGCGGGCTCAAAATCGGGTTCATTTGGGAGGGCTTGGATCCGCAGGGGAGTTACATTCGTAGCTGATCTGTGGTCGGACGCGCTGGGAACCTGGAGGCCGTTGGAAGAGGTCAAGGCCACTCTGCAAAACCTTCGATCTGTAGAGACAAACTGGCGGGCACTCATTCAGGCGGTTCCCCCTGACTGGGCGGCCCTGCTCGGCCCGGAAGGTCTGAACCCCCCTGGCACCTGGTACGCAGGCATCAGCTCGGACAGTCAACCGTCCGCATGGAAGTTGCTTAGGCTAACCGCGTCTGGCTTTAGAGAAGTGCAGAACTGGAGAGTAGCAAATGCGGATGGGGTGCTAAAATACATTGAAGTTGCGACAGTGAGAGAATGGGCCAACCCTCCACAGATTCGGGTGTTGGAACAGACGGATGGACACGGGAGGGTGATTCAGTCTCGCTGGGTGGGGAGAGTCCCTCTAGCCTGGGGCTGGATTGGCAACCCAGGGGTATGGTCACCTTCTCGAGGGATGAGCCTGTCCGAATTTTCCACACGGGAGTCTCATCGCCTAGCGTACAAAAGGTCCAGATCACCAGCTTCGGTGGCGATCTCCCGCTGGAGCACAGTGTTGTTGGATGACCTGCAAGGGGCAGAAAGCGAGTTCCGAAAAATCTGGAGCATCCTCCTGGAACTACCAAATGTTAAACAGGCCTGCCTTTTATGGGCGCTATCCATGTTAGTCACTCCCTCGGCGGTGTGGCTATGTGGTAGGGGTGTGGACGTACCCTTGGGTTGCTCCAGATGCACCGAGTCCCTGGAATCCACCCGCAATCTGTGGTGGGACTGCCCGGCCTCGAGGCGAGTGTGGAGTTGGTGGGCCCAGCACTGGCAACAAATGGAATGGAAGGATATTGTGTGGGAAGAAAGATGGGTTTTGTTGGGTTTTCCCCCAGAGAGATCCACGGGGAAGAGAGGTTGGGCCTACGTGGCGCAAGTGGTAAGGGCGGTTATCTGTGCGGTTATTTGGGCCGACAGAAACTGTTCCCGTTTTGAGAGGAGACCCTACTCCGATATCGAAATCAAAGCGGCCATCAAAAAGGGCATTCGGCAGGCAATCGTTATCGACTGGAGACGACGGGCCAAGGACAGGTACGGCTCCCAGACCCAGACTGTGGTGGGTTTTGAGAACCTGGGCAATTGAGAACAGACTGGCAGGAGTACATAGCTCCAGAGGGCTGGTCCTGTCCAAGTGGCTGTTCGACCCCCCTTGAAATTTTAGCTGTAGCTGACTACGGTTTAGGTTAGTCCTTAATACCATGTCCAACCAGGGCACTCGAATGTATAGGGCCGCGGTAGGCCACTAGGTGAGTGTCTCGAGTTGAGAATAGGTAGGGGTTCAGTGGGCCGGTTTAGTCCCATCTGATCACAGCTTGGTTTTAGGTAGTTATTAGGTGCTTAGGCTCACTCTGGTCTACTTTTCAAAAGCACACATTTTTACAGGCGATATTTCCTTCTCTCAGGATGTAATTTGCTCAGAGGTCAGATGAATTGTTCAGCCTAGATTAACCTTTTTCTGTTCCACCATCTTCAGTTCATTGGGTAGGTAACATTGGAAATTCCCTAGCAGACTTTCTGCAGGCATTGCCTGTAAGCTAAGCTGGCTGATGCTGTCAGTACCCCCGGGTTGAATTGTGAGGTCCCCAGCCTCGATGTTTAATTTTTGGAAGTAAGTTATCAAGGGGAAAAACTGGATGCACGTTATGTGGAAGGATACGGAAGTGCAACTGACCACAACGGAGAGGTAAATAGAGGTAAATAGTACTAAAACGGGAAAACCCATTTTTTTTGCTCTAGTGCGACCACTCCCAGTCTTTGTACGATTACGCACTTTCCATCCACTGAATCAGTTATCATAACAACAAATTGCCTCAGTGGAAACGGGCACTGTTGAAGCTCTGGAGGAGATGCATCCTTTGAGACAGTAACCATGCAGACTCAGCAGGCGTATCTAATACGTTGTGTCTCTGTGTCTCTGTGTCTCTGTGTCTGTGTGCCTGTGTACGTGCATACATAAGTGTGTGTGCGTGCATATGTGAATTAATCCCTGTTTTTTCAGGGCGCACACACACACACACACAGACACAGAGAGAGAGAGAGAGAGAGAGAGAGAGAGAGAGAGAGAGAGAGAGAGAGAGAGAGAGAGAGAGAAAAGGAACAGAAGAAAAGCACAATCGGTTAGACGAACTTCAATGAGTAACATCAAAAAAAAGGAAGACGCCAATAGCAGCAAATGTTTCAAGAACCGGCCACAAATTCGTGAAACACTAAATAAGTTCTAGTCCAACCTCACGCGCATACACTGCAATAGCTTATGACGAAATCTTTTCGGCAGTGCATGTGCAAATCTGTCTTGCGCAGATCCAAATAATCATAATGACAAAATGCTCAACCGATGGTAGGGTCATCATGGAATCGGCCAACATTTTCAGCCTTGCGCCACGTAAATCCAAAACACAAGCGGGAAAAGCGTGTCATCGTCGGCAATACCGAAGAAGAAAAACTGCTGCACTAAAAGAGACGCAAACAGAGTGCGACTTCCCACCACGAGTGTCATCGTCCACTCTCCAAGGCATCATAGGCGGCCAAAACATGCTTTGCAAGATCTGTGAACAATAAGCCAATTAAAAGAGCGTCGCAATGCCGCACACACATTTCCCTTCGCCTCCGTCAGCGTCTGCCCATCTTCCTTTCTCGCAGAAACGTTGGCTGTTCTGCTCCCTTTCCAGAGACTGAACTCCAGAAAAACATTTCCCATCCAGCCAGCACGTTCCTAGAAACCAATATGAAGCGACCAAATCACACATGCGGGAAGGAGACAGAGAAAGACAGAGAGAGAGGCGCACTTGACCTACACGTGGACGACGGAGAGAGAGACTGAACTCCAGAAACCTCTTGCCCCTCCTGGCAGCACGTTCCCTTAAAAACCATATGGTGAAGTGATCGCGTTCTCAAAGTCACTCTATTCGAAAATGACACACCGATACACAACTGCGAAAATGACCGAAACGACCAAATCACACATTCGCGAAGGAGACAGAGAAAGAGAGAGAAAGAGGCGCACTTGACCTACACGTGGACAAAGGAGAGAGAGACCGAACTCCAGAAACATATTGCTCGTTCCCGCCAGCACGTTCCCCTAGGAACCATATGGAGAAGTGATCGCGTTCTCAAAGTCACTCTCTATTTTAAAGTGACACACCGACAGACAACAGCGAAAATGACCGAAACGACCAAATTACACATGCGCGAAGGAGACAGACAGACAGGCAGAGAGAGAGAGAGAGAGAGAGAGGGAGAGGCGCACTTGACCTACACGTGGACGAAGGAGAGAGAGAGAAAGAGAGAGATGCACTTGACCTACGACCGGCCATCGTGACAGAAAAAGCAAGAAATGCTGACGGAGTGACCGGCTATTGACGCCGGGAAACTTCCGATCATACCTCTCATTACCCAGGACCTTCCAAACTACTGCATTCGATTATACCGAACACTTCGAAAATACGCTCTCTGAAGCCATACTCTCTTCACACCATTCACTTCCCGAACAACTGTTACACATACCGTATTAATTAAGCAAGCCATCGCATACATGTGCTGTTCGGCGGCCGGCCAACTTCTCCACATCCATGTGAATCGGCAAAATCCGATCTATCACAGTGACATGTCGAGCGAGCTGTTGATCCGAGCGAGTAGGTTCGTATCCAAGAAAAGTTCTCAATCACTACACGATCATCACAAATACTTTCTCTGACTGAAGCCACTCGAGCATGGACCGCCCAATTCTGATTGCAACACCACACACACACAATTACGGACGGAGAAAAGCGCACAGAGACAGACACCCACACAGGCACACGAATCGCCGCACATAGGGTAGTTAACGCATAGTAATACGTAGTGTAATACGGCAGCCGACCGCATCAATTCGACACGCTTTCCTTCACAAAAGATTGTAAAGGAACATTTGCTTCACTGCGGATGTGAAACATCATCCACCACCAGCAGAGAACAACCTTTGTCTGTTCCCGACTGCTCCCTTTTACGTCTCTTGGCCTGTCCATCCATTCCTTTGCCGGTCCCAAGCAGCCATCCCTTGGAACCAATGCCTGTTCCAATCGGCGATGTTTTCAATGAATCAACCTGGTGATCTCATCAAATACGACTGGGCCGCTTCCAGGTGCACTCCCACAGAACTGTCACGCCCATACCAATGGCCGCCCTTCCAAATGAATTTTTAAATGAATTTTTAAATATGCACATGGTTGTGAAAAGCGACCACCTCTTCGGGGCTCATCTGCTCATCTGCTCATCTGCTCATCTGCTCATCTGATTACGATATAGACTTCCTGCAGGTCCCAGAACGCAGCGAACCCCTTCTACCGAGATTGTGCAAGCAATAACTAAATGCCTACGACCTCGTTACAATGTGGCTTGGAATCGACCGCCTCCCATCCGGCCACCCTGTGCAAACTGCCGACTGGGTACAAATGATTGAACAGAGATATAGGAATATTTTCTTCTCTATGGTAGCCGCTGGCCAGTTGCCTCCCTATTCAGAAAAATGTACAATCCAGCCTGAAGCAGTTACAGCTTCCAAACACTGCATCCAGATCCCAATGAACTTCGGCCTAAACAACTAAACTAATGGTCGTATCACCAACTCCATAGCTCTCTTCACACAGAATCAACTTTACAACAAAGGAATTCAAAATCAACAAAATAATTCTGAGGCACTACCAAACACTTTCCGGCCCAGAATGTCGGCCAGTAGCAACCATCGAGGCACAGTGGATTCCTCTACCCAAACCAACAACTAATACATCCAATCCCTTCTCTCTCTCTCTCTCTCTCTCTCTCTCTCTCTCTCTCTCTCTCTCTCTCTCTCTCTCTCTCTCACCCCCCTAAAGTAGCAGTTTACCTACGTCCTGGAAGCTCTAGCTCGTTCAATAGACCGCAGCTGATCCAGGAGTGTCAGTCAGCTCAAGACAGGGACCAATCTTCGCTACTTCCGAGAACTTGGGCCCAGAGTACTTCTTGTGGACAGCAACCAGCGTAGTTGATGACGCGTTCTTGTGGAAGCCAGCCATTAGTGATGCGCATTGCCTGCGCAACGCCAAAATGGACAAACGGTAAGTAAACTATCAAGATTCGTAGCATATGTTGCACTAAACGTTTTTGATGAGGAATTGATTAAGTAAACAAAACACTGTACGCCAAAATGGACAAACAGTTAGTAAACGATCAAGATTCGTAGCACATGTTGCACTTAACATAAGATGAGGTATTGATATAGTAAACAAAACACTGTACGCCAAAATGGACAAAAGGTAAGTAAACATATGTTGGACAACGTTTTTGATGAAGGATTGATTAAGTAAACAAAACACTGTGTGATAGTCTGATCACTCTGGTTGATGATTTGGCCAATCTGCACCTGAACGCAGAAACAGGACACATGCATGGTAAGAGTCCATACCATTTTCAAAATCACCAGTCAGGGGAATGGAAATCGGATTTGTAGCCCGCGCTGGGAACGACTTCGAATAACCGGATGAAGTTCACGATGAGGAAATTTGATTCTATGGCTGGCTGTCACAAGCAAGACATCCCCAGTCCTCTGCACGAAGGTGGGCAACATACATTAAGATAAGCAGGAATGATATGATAGCGAGAACTTACTTCAAGGCTTCTTCCGCATAACCACTGTGCCGCCTCAAAGTGGCGCTCCATCCAGCAGACAGCCGTCCCAGGGTTCGCATTGCAGTGTACACTGCGGCCGCTGCAAGGTGTGATGGAAGAAATTTAACCATTCTGTACTCCACGAGCGCCAGCTCAACCAAGAAGAACGCCAGGTGCTCCAGCTGTAAGGGCAAAACAAATCACAACACGCAACACACATTGCTTGAGGACGTCCAAGGTCGGCTATGGTATCGGTACAGTCAAGAAGAGAATAGACAAGCAAGGAATTCACATGTCAATCGGCCTACACCCAAAATTGAACCTGCACATGAGACCAGCAAGCTCTTACCTTTTTATCAGCTTCAGCCGCCTTGAGGAACCGTACCATAAACACATATGGCGTCGGCACTGTTAGATTGAAGTTGAGCGTGTTAAGCATCTTTTTCTCCTGCAACCAAAACCCATTTGCACAGGTACACAGTGAACACGAAGTTCATCAACCACAAAAGAGAATGTGATTCCAGATAATTACGTAGTGTGGGAAATATGTGTGACGAAAGACAAGTCGACAGGAGGGGGGAGAGAGACAGAGAGAGAGAAGGCAGAAAGCAGAGGGAAAGGGAAGAAATGTGAAGGCAGAGAGAAAGGGAAGAAGTGCGAAGAAGGCAGAGGACAGAATAAAAGGGAGAGAGAGACACAGAGAGAGAGAGAGAGTGGAGAAGGCAGAGGGAAAGGGAAGAAATGTGAAGACGGAAGAGGGACAGGGAAGAAGTGCGAAGAATGCAGCGGACACAGACGAACAGGGATAGAGAGAGAGATAGATAGATAGAGAGAGAGAGAGGGCAGAATGCAAATACCGTATATCCATGTGACTCCCAATTAAAAAAGCTACCAAGCGCTCACCATATCGAGAGAGCGGAGTTCAAGATGATAATGTATCCTGAGAGCGGGGGTGATAACAAAATCGCAGACAGCGCCGGGGAGTGATACTGACTTTATATAAAGTAATAAATAAATAAGTCGGGCCGGTATGTTACTTCAAAAAAACAAAAAATGAAAAAAAAAAAAAAAAAAACAATCGGCTCCGACTTTTTTCAATGCCGGGCGGGCCGACGTGCGGTCCCCAAACTGGAAACGTCTCCCAAAAAACAAAAAAAAACTGGAAACGTCACGGTGGAATGTCCCGAGGTGGGCGCGAGGGGCGGGTGAGCGACGGGGCGGTGTCGGGAACGCTCGCCCGGGTGACTTACGGACAGTCGACGCAGAGGAGAGGACGAGGGTGCGATCAAATGGGCAAATGTGGTCTTATGCTAAAAGCCACCAAGTACTCTCACCAGGCCCGACTGACAGTCAATGGAAAAGAGAGAAGGATATGAGCAACTGGGTAAATGTGGTCCGACGCTCAAGACTACCAAGTACTCACCATGTCGAGGATAGCCGCTTTAGTGTACGCTTTATCGGAGATATATACGAAGTCCTGAACTTCAGGCGCCCAGATTTCCTCGTATTTGGAGGCTATGAGCATAGCAGTGATGCCGACGAGCTGCAAGTTCTTCCTCTCTGTCGGTTTCTTTGCAAGGTACCTGTCGATGAGGTTGGCAGTCAGGTAAAGCGTCTCCGGAAGAAGCTTGAACTTGAAGTGCACCTGCGCGTGGTCCAGTTAACAAATGCACTTGCTGGTCAATCAATGCGATCGATAACTAGACGTCGTCACAACAACAAACCCATCGCAACACTGTTATACAATTCTCCATGTCAGCCAGATACAATGACATGACAGAAGGCGCCCCGAAAATCACAAAGATACGGATGGATCCTAAGAATTCTATACGCTGCCCACTTGTGCCCTCCCGCTAAACTGTGGCTTCGGCAAATAAAATATCTAAAAGCATGAAAACGGAATCAAGTATATAAGGAAAACTGATATGCTGCTCGTCTTGTTGTGTCCAGAACCCCATTACCCCTATAACAATGAAGAACAGAGGGATTAAAACACTTTCAAAGAACACAGGTAAGAAAGTAGAAGATCTAGCATGCAAATCACAGCAATCATGAAAGCTTCCAGAACTAAAATAGGGGAGTGACCATGCTTACCTCCACAAGCCAGTCGAGAAGAATTGCCCTCATCTTCTCATTGATGTCGGCCTGACTTGTCATGTAGTCTGCTTCCACAGTGCTGTGTATCTCTGCTTTCCTGTAGAAGCTGTAGATGTCCTCCACGTAGTCGACAACATGCCTAATGTCTCCCTTGTCATTCGAGTCGATATCTGTCGCAGTCTCTCCGTCCTCGATATCTTGGAATCCTCCGCACGCCTCCTCGCTCCAGGCAGTGAGCAAGCTAGTCATGCTCAGCTCTCCCTTCTCCTGCGCGACAGATGCTGACGGACGAGAGCGCCTCGCTAGACGGGCCGCTGTCGCACCCTGTTTTTGGGGCTTCGACCCATAATTTCGTGGCCTTGTCACTCCCCACTGCCGAACCGGAGGAAGATGCGCATCCTGTTGAGATAACACAACACAAACCCGCATCACATGGTAAGCGAGATCGAAATCAAGACACACAAGCCGTGCTGTACGCTTATCACGGATTCCTTCATTTTTTTAACTCTAAAATTTGTCGAATGAAAATGGAATTTGACAGACATTAGGAAAGCTCCCCACAAATATATTGCACCAACCAGGAGGCTCGCTAGGAGGGAGTGCTCTTATCACCTCTCCTACCTAGCTGGGAGATTTTTGTTTTTTAGTTTTAAGGAAAAAATATTGACACGCGATGAAAGAGACACACCGTGGTAGGCTGTGGAATAGGGATGGGCTTCGATTGGACAGCAGACGGCTTGTCGCTTGCACTTTCTCCATTTGGAAGTTCACCGCGCCTGAACACAATTTCCAGACCACACCAGACAACCAGGAATTCAGTGCCAGTTAGACGTAAACAAGTCAACACAGCAAACCCTTTCAATTACAGACAGGAAAGGACAAGCAAGATAAAGCCAACGAAAACACTTGGCCGCTTGTAAGCACCTCGTTTCCTGAACTCGTCCTGACGAAAACCATTCTCAGCTAACTGGTCGCCTGCAAATCGAGCACAAATCGAGAGGGGAAATAGCACTGCAATAATCTGATAGCAAGTAGGGATCAAACGAACAAGAACTACCCACAATTCAGCTTCTTTCCCCTGCTGCCCCTGCTGGAGGTTGCCTTTCCCCTGCTGCCCCTGCTGGATAGCTCGAACAAGATTGCCAATATCACCAAGAGCTCTTCTTCTTGCCGCAGTGGTCTGGTTCTGTGCAGCCACGCGCCCGGCAGCTGGAAAAAACAAAACGAGACAAAAGGTATCAGATGGAGGGGCAGCTGGCACATATACCTTGTACAACAAGAAGCTTCATGCAATAAGGTTTTCGTGGTTTATGCCTACGCACCGCTTTCGATTTTCTTTTTTATTTCGATTCTCTTTTTTATTTCCTTTTTTTTATCTTTTTTTTTTTTTCCCCTCAATCTTATATGTAGCCAATCTGGCCACAAGCAAAATCTGTTGACATCCCTCTCTGGACCCATTTTCCAGCTCACCAGCAATAGATGGAGTCCGCAAACAAGGGACCCACTTATGGAGGATGCTCATATCACCCCCATAAATGCCCTCCCAAAATCTGTTGACGTCCCTCTCTGGAACCCTTTTCCAGCTCCCCAGCAGTAGATCGAGTCCGCAAACAAGGGACCCACTTATGGAGGATGCTCATATCACCCCCATAAGTGCCCTCCGTCCTCTGAAGTTCTGAAAAAAAAAGAAAAGAAAAAAAAAACAGCAAAACTCTACCACGTCCTACTGTACACGTCCGCATAGAAATTGTGAACCATTCTACCAAGGTTCAAGTAGATTCGATATTTCAACTGGCCAATAAACACGTTAAGCCAATAAACACGTTAAGCCAACTCATTGACAAGCGGACAATCGTTTCTCTATCGATCCCTTTCCCTTTCCGCTGATCAATTAAGTATACGTCAACATGCTGTGTCATTTCTGTGTAGCATTCTCCTTGCTAGTATCTTGGAGACAACAAATCAATCAATACTGCTCATCAGTAACGATGACTCGTAAATTGGTATTTGGTTTGTAATTGGGACGCTGGACTCGGTTTCCAGGAGGTGCAGCTCCCCCACCAATAGCTTGGACCCATCTTCCATCGGGGCCCTAATCCTGGAGGGTGCTCTTATCACCTTCACGACTAAGCCTTTCACAGATGATTGGGAAAATCAATACAACCAAGGACGGACGACAGCTCGCAAAGCCCCGTTCACTTCAAAATTGGAGCCATGCAAAGGAGAAGGTTACCATGGGCCTGCGCAAACATGACACGCACTTATCGAAAGAAGATATTATAGCATCTCGTCACATCGGGGTGTGCGAATCAAACGCACTACGTGAAAACCGAGTGGGTGCACTGCGCATGGACAGAAGAAACGTTTAACAATCCCATGGACGTCAGCCGAGGACGCACCTCTGCAGACGACATTCGAAAACACCACTGAGACGGGTTACAGCCGATCACAAACCAGGGGACATCTATTTTGCAAAAATGAACAACGCAGAAGCAACCATGAACAAGCAAGAAATGCCATGCTAGATAAGATCTTTCCTTACCTTTTATGGCCTTAACCTCAATCTTCTTGTTCTCGTCAAACACGCCAGCAGCCGGAACCCCATTGTCCTGATACAACAGAACAATCCCACGGAAGAAACTTGGAACTGTCAGCGTAAATCGTCTCTCTCTCTCTCTCTCTCTCTCTCTCTCTCTCTCTCTCTCTCTCTCTCTC